GCAGAACTTAAAAACCTTTCAATACTCTCCTTCCACTTTGCTATATACACTCCAAAACATTTGACATAGTCATAACTAGCTGACATATTCATGAAGAGTATTTTGCCATTGCGGAGGATATTGATGACTTTGTCATCTTGTATGTCTCACAGTTCCCGAACAACATTATTTCCCCTAATGCCTAGCTCTCCCTGCGACGCTAAAGTCTAAATGAAGCAAGTCTAGACTTCCCATCTCCCAACTCACCGAGGCTCCTTTTCAATGGAAGTGGGTTTATTTGTTGCTATCAGAATCATATTTGTTCGGGGAGTAAGCATTAGCCTAGTACTTATCATGCAACCGAAAATGGTTGATGCTTGAATAATGCTCATGTGTATATCTTTTCGTAGTACTCCAACTTCTAAATGCCTCTCAAAGAAGATGAATGTTGTGAAAACAAGCATGTTTCATAACGATAATTTGAGGGTAAAGAGGCTGATGTAACAAAGTTACTGAGTCAAAAAAGAAACTTCACATTTGTTCTTCAGGGCACTATAAAAGAACAAGAGATGGTAAGATGGTTAAATTGTTATTATTTCATTGCTGAGATCTGTGTGATGTACTCGATACACTGACAGTGCCATAATCAGTTCCATTAGGCTACACCGCCGTACCAAAACATGGGTATACAGAATGTCAAGTCACAAGAATAAAAATGCGAAATTTCTCAGTTCAATATCGTGTATGGCCGCCCCGCGCATTCATCACTGCCAAACACCGTCTCCTCATCGACTGCCTGATGCTTGTGAACACGTGGTTGGGGATTCTGCGCCCTTGCTCTTGCAAGGCAGCGCCAAAGTCCTGTAAATTCTGAGGTTGGTTCCTAAGACCACGAAGCCTTCTCCCAAGTGCATCTCAAACGTGCTCTATTGAATTAAGGTCAGGGGACCTCGATGGCCAGTCCATGACGTTGATTCTAGCGTTTTGAAGGAAATTTCGTGTCAACATCGCGGTATGCGGCCGAGCATTATCATGCTGGAACTGTTGACCTGGGCCATGAGCTGCCATGAAAGGAACGAGTTCAGGGGTCAGCACCTGGTCGCGGTAAGCAGCAGCTGTGAGGTTTCCACGGATTTCCAGAAGTCGGGAACGGTTGTTCCCACAGAAAGCACCTCACATCATGCAACTTCCGCCCCCGAATCTGTCGACTTCCTGTACACAACATTGGGCATACCGTTCACGACGCCGTCTCCAGACTCGATGCCTGCCGTCCGCGAATCTGAGGATAGACCTGGATTCATCGCTAAAGACGACTCGATTCCAGTCTCTCTGGGTCCATCGGTTGGGCCCACAGCAGGCGTTGACGTTGATGAAACGGCGTCAATATTGGCCCACGATATGGACGCCGAGAATGGAGATTGGCAGCCAGCAACCGATTTCGAATGGTCTGTGAGGACAGTCGACCTCTAAACATCTCAGCCCTGGTTCGTGTAGCCGGCAGAAATCTGTCACGTAGGTGACGTAGGACGATTTGACGGTCTTTTGCTCGTGACGTCACACGTAGACGACCCGACCTTGGGCGATCAGAAGTGGTGCCAGTTTGTTGTAGACGACCTCGCAAGTCATACACAGTACGACGGCTGCATCCCATTGCTCTTGCGACGTCAATAACTGATCTTCCCGCTTGCAACATGCTAACGGCACGTTCACGTTGCACATTTGACAATCGTGGCATTTCAAGTACCGTTAGAACTGTGGTTTAAAAGTGTTTTTTCAATTCTTGAGGCCAATGCAAACACGTGCATATGTAGAAAACTTCGATGCGAAGATCACGTGATCGACTGCACGTGCAAAACCTGATTTGGCACTAACGTCATTTGCACGACGAATGGATGGGTTTGATTGGGTTTTGCTAACGTGTTTCTAGAGTCAAAAGATAGGGATCCCATTTCGGATACATAGATGTATCATCAGAGAAAATTATTCATTATTTTTCAAATTACGTTTTGTGAAGTTTCTTTTTTGACTCAGTATTTTACAGTGTTATTGTTAGCATTTGCTTTGCTGAAAAAAATATGATTATATTTACATATTCCATATAACTAATTCCATCTAGGATTCTTAAACCTTATTCAGAAATAATCCTTTGGACATAGACTTCTATATGGTGGACCGTTGGTAATAATTACATTTGAATATGTATTTAACAAATATTTTTTTCTCCTTCTTTTCGTTGCATCACAGAGGTTAATTTCTACAAAATACAATTTAAAAACACAACAACAGCAATACAATGTTCGAGTGCTACGGTGCTTGCGTTATCGTTCTTGTTTAACGTACACCCGTGAAGATCTCGGGTTAGAACTGGTCTTCAGTAACCCATGCTTGTCGTAAGAGCCGACTAACGGGATCGGGTGGTCAGGCTCGCTGACTTCGTTAACACGTGTCATTGTATAGATCAATGCTCATGCTGTTGATCAATGGATTGTCTGGTCCAGACCCGATTATTTACAGACCGCCGCCATATTGCTGGAATATTGCAGAGTGCCGAGTAAACCTAAACTCACTCACTCAACTGTTCATAGTAGTTCTGCCCTTCATGTGGCAATATGCAAGCCTACCGCATCCCAACCTCTGTGTTACTAAAAATGGCATTGTGCATTCATAATCGGTTTTACTCCTTTGGTGGAAGGTTCCCTTGTCCATTACGCTCAACTGGATGTCGTCATGTACGACTACGTATTTTAGACAACCCTGCCCTGCATGCTGAAATCAACGTGATAAACATTTGTATGTGAAGCGAGTTGAAAGTTTGACAATTGTGAAATTAATTTGAGCTGTTCGCAATATTGATATTTGGAATTTAATTAGTTGATTGGACACGTGAAGATTCGGGTTAGAATTGACCCTGCGTATGCATTGATGCTTTTTCACTATCGTTCACTGTTTAGGTATACCTGTTTGAAATCGTAGCTTAAAATGACACCCTCTTTGCTGCAGGACAACGCTAGGCTTCATGGGGCTATAATTGGCTCGGAAATCCTTAGGCAGCAGGGTAGAGAGCGGGTAGAGTGACCAGCAGGGTCGCCAGACCTCAGCCCTCAAGAATCGTCCACGACCCGGAAGACTGAGAAAGTCCAATGACAGTGATGACTGTTTGGCCTCACGCAGTCCCATGGTCTGCGTCGGCAATGGAGAGGGGAAGTCCGATACAACACCTGGACAGTCGGTACAGGTTTGCCGGTTGCTGGGCAAAGCTTTTCAAACACTTCAATTTCCTTTTAAAAAAACAATTATTAAATCATAATTGACCTTGCTAAAAGATCCTTCGCTGTTTTTACACTGAAATATTGACCCCTGCAGTTCATACTTGACCGTGAATATTTCATCACAAGGGATACAGGGAGGCTCCTCGCCTTTAAACGGGTACTCATGAGTATATCTGGATGACCAATATGGTCGCGTAACTTCTTCAAATCTGGACTGACAATCCAAGTATGTAGTCGAGTACCGTTTTCTCGATATTCATGGGACCAAGAAAAAATATTGAGTTATCCGAACTTCGAGACATCCGACCACATCATCATATATCACTATGAAAGAAAACAAAACGTTTCTCAGTATGTTTTGATTCAAACTATAATCTGTTATCAGTAGTGTTTAGACGTAACAGTGAGTACTTCCTAATTAACTCTTTCTTAATTAATACTAATTAAATAAAGAAGTGACACCTTCAGCTCAATTAGCCCTAATTAGTTTATATTACCGCATCCCTTTGATTCATGCCGCACCGTGTGTAAACGTGTGGAAACAACCTCAGTTCAGAGGGATACTTGCCCATGAAAGTTAGGTGAATGTCAGTTTCTTTGCAAATATGAGTTTAAAGGGTCATTTTGCTTGTTGGGACCACAAAATTATATCGAGATATCCGAAATATCAAGACATCCGTAAGAGTTAAAAGAGCTTGAATAGTGATAAATTATGAAGGATGTTATATGGAGACAACCCAGATATCTAGTTATCAGAGTTCCACACAACTGTGCACTGTATAATCAAAGATTAGTTTAATTTCATGTAATTAATTGATACCTACTTGAGTGTTCCACTTCCACAGATAACGGGCTAATGATTCTTAATGTAAGAGGTAAACAAATGAATCGAGGGGTCATAATGTCAATCACAGGATTATCTGGTTCAGACCTTATTTACATTTTGTCCTCTCACAGCTGGAACACTGCAGTGTGTAGTAACAAACAAATCTTATTGCAGTCAAACGTGCAAATAAATAAGTCTGAATGTTAATGAAAATATGACTTTATTTACATTCAATGCCTGGAAATGAATTATACATATGACAAATATTTACACAGCACTATATGCTCTAGAACTCTCTCAACAGAATTTCATTGCGATCAAACATCCTTAACAATTGACTGAAGCATACATAAAATCTCATTCACTCTTCAACTTTCAAATTCGAACCAGCTGTGTGCATGTTTGAAATAAAATCAAAACCATTAGCAGAAGCATCACAACACACGACCAGTCAACAAAAAACAACTTATTTGAATGTTCTAGTGTAAGAACATTAGAGTCCTGTGACATAAAATGGATCCTCATAAAATAAACAAAATATCAGAAGAGAGAGTACCTGAAATAGCATTCCAACAATATAGGTCACAAATGAAGAACTCCGGCATGATGGGTTTCAAGGTACATGTTCTCAATCTAACAAGAAAACAAACCATGTCGAAAAAAATAGTCACACATGTTCAAGGCGAAACTGTCATTATTCCACGTTGCTGTTCCAGGCATCCTTGCAGTGAGTTTGGTTTTACGCCGCTTTTAGCAATATTCCAGCAATATCACGGCGGAGGACACCAAAAATGAGCTTCACACATTGTACCCGTGAGTGGAATCGAACCTGGCTCTTTGGCATAGCAAGCGAACGCTTTAACCCCTTGTCCAAATTATTTCTAGTAAGTGAATGAGTTTTACACCGCTTTTGGCAATATTCCAGCAATATCACGGCAGGGGACACCAAAAATGGGCTTCACACACTGTACTCGAACCAGGGTCTGAGGCGTGATGAGTGAATGCTTTAACCACTAGGCTACCTCACCACCCTCCAAATTATTTCCTGGAAATGGTGTCAACTGATTCAAGGGCTACATGTAAACAGAAAACAATCACCACAAGTGCACCAGCTACAGAACACAAGGCAATGTCATAGTGCTTAGCAATCAGTGTCACCACTTCCTGTCTATAACCCCACGTTCTACATTTCAGTCAGTGCCATAATTTCAAAACAAAAGTTTAATCTCTGAATATATATTATCTTGACAGAAACAAAAAAGTCCCATTAAGTTGAAAAGAAGCACCTAATTTGAGAGGAGACCGGTGCCGCTTTTAGTAATATTCCAGCAATATCACGGTGGGGGACACCAGAAATGGGCTTCACTGACTGTACCTATGTGGGGATTCGAACCCGGGTCTTCGTCGTGACGAGCCAACGCTTTAACCACTAGGCTACCCCACCGCCCTTGAGATGAGAGATTCAGAACCTGAAACTGAGACAATTAAGACTTGCTTCATTTAAGGCTTTGGCATTTAATTAAGGAATGGGCTGGGAAGAAGGAAAAATAAAATGGTTCAGGGACTGTGAGACAGACTAAATAATTACATGAATGTTACAAGAATATGATACAATCCATGAAGCCAAAATATGTTCCAAATACATCTCTTTAAAATTAGGGTAGGTAGGTAGGTAGGATTTTTCTTTTTTAAGATGTAAAGTCAAGCTTGCAGCCATCATGTCGACTTTCTTTATCAGAATGATTGATGTCCGTTGGTGCAGGGAAAAAACAATAGGTATCTGAAAGCTTATTTGATTCATGCCGCCAAGAGCAGCACCAGAATTCAAGGGTCGGTCGGGTAATCGGAACCACAACATTTTTCTTTTTAGGCCTTACAATTAAAGGTCTTTGGTACAACTGTTAACAAGTGGACTGTTACATGATTTGTTTCAGAATACATAATGAATAGCATTAAAGTTAGCCTGGCTTCTAGGCCCTAAGTCTACAGCAGACTCGCAAATAGAAATGGAAAATGTCATCTTCTATTTTGATATAAAACATGATGACATGTATTTCATCGATCAATATATGAATAAAATAGACTGACTGACTGAGTTTGGTTTTACGCCGCTTTTAGCAACATTCCAGCAACATCACGGCGGGGAACACCAGAAATGGGCTTAACACATTGTGCCCATGTGGGGATTCGAACCCGGGTCTGCGGCGTGACGAGCCACCGCTTTAACCATTAGGCTACCCCACCGCCCCGAATAAAATAGAAGCGCTTTAAGAAAAGGTTCATGTTTATATTATTGCATTGAATGCAATGTGATAACACCAAGCTAAAATGTCTCTGAAACTGGAACTCATGACGTCTCTCAGTCTGGTAGTCATAGGAACCATGCATGATCAGAAACGGCCATATTTTGATACATATGCCTCATAGTTTGTTTGATTGTTGTTTAACGCGGCACTCAGCAATATTCCAGCTATATGGCGCTGGTCTGTAAATAATCCAGTCTTGACCAGACAATCCTGTGATCAACATCATGAGCATCAATCTACGTAACTGGGTTACAATGACATGTCAAAGCCAGAGTCCAAAGAGCTCATCCAAGTCAGCAATCAGATCCTGTTAGTCACCTCTTTTGAAAAACATGGGTTGATGAAGACCAAATCTAACCCGGATCTTCACGGGTCACATAAGCCAGTAGTTTTGAGAACTCTTGGAACTGTTCTCTTCATGTTCTCAGCCTAGTAGTCGTAGGAACACATTCAAGCATTCATTTCAGGAACATACACTATCTTCAAGCATCAATCACACTTGCACAGAGAGGCTACTCTGGTAACATCTTTCACACAAGGCTTGAGGGTAAATGCTGCCATAGCTCATCCAGGTGTTTGAAATGATGTTGGCAGTACCACTGTAGAATCCCTCTGACTGATGCCTAGCCAGGCAACCTCCGTCATACTCGGTCACGCTTCTCACTGCTCCATGTCAGCGTCCTCAAACTGGCCCATCTCCATGTTCTCCTCCGCAGCCCCTCCGCCATCTGAAACAGTGACAACAGTCTTAGCATGGACAGCAACAATCTCAGCATGGACAGCAACAATCTCAGCATGGACAGCAACAATCTTAGCATGGACAGCAACAATCTCAGCATGGAACAATCTTAACATGGACACCAACAATCTTAGCTTGGACCACAAGCAATAACCTTAGCTTGGACCAGCAACAATCTTAGCTTGGACCACCAGCAATCTTAGCTTGGACCAGCAACAATCTTAACAAGGACAACAACAATATCAGCATGGACAGCAACAATCTTTGCATGGGCAGCAACAATCTTAGCTTGGACCAGCAACATTATTAGCATGGACCAGCAATAACCTTAGCTTGGACCTGCAACAATCTTAGCTTGGACCAGCAACAATCTTAGCTTGGACCAGCAACAGTCTTAGCATGGAAAGCAACAACATCAGCATGGACAGCAACAATCTTAGCTTGGACCAGCAACAATATTAGCATGGACCAGCAATAACCTTAGCTTGGAGCAGCAACAATCTTAGTATGGACAGCAACAATCTCAGCATGGACAGCAACAATCTTAGGTTGTCCAGCAACAATATTAGCATGGACCAACAACAACCTTAGCTTGGACCAGCAACAATCTTAGCTTGGACCAGCAACAATCTTTGCATGGACAGCAACAATCTTTGCATGGACAGCAACAATCTTATCTTGGACCATCAACAATATTAGCAAAGACCAGCAACAATCTTAGCATGGACAGCAACAACCTTAGCTTGGACCAGCAACAATCTTAGCAAAGACCAGCAACAACCTTACCATGGACCAACAACAATCTCAGCATAGACCAGAAACAATCTCAGCAAGGAAAATGTACTTCAAGAATACAGAGATTGTTTGTATTGTGCTTGGTATTAGAAGTTACAGAATCAAAGCTATGTTTGTCTGTTACTAGCCCGTTTTTAACAAACTACATGTAATACTTTCACCTGACATGAGCTAGTTGGACTCACCTCTGTGATGGCCATTAGTCTGACTCTCAGCTCCATCGCCTTGCCCCACCTGTAACAGATTGTCCAGATGCTGTAGAGTGGCTTGACCTTGGGCTGTCAACTGACCTTCACCTTCTTCTCCTGTGAAGAAGTCTTCTAAAAAATTAAACAAGAAGTGCAAAAAAACAGGAGAATAATGAAATAAGGAAATTGATTACATCACAACAACAGGAACTGACTGATGTAAAGGTCTTTCTCACCGTGGTATTTTCAGGTAATTTGGAATTTTGTGGACTTTAAAGGCTTCACTAAGCATCTAACCTTGAATTTAAGATGAATTTAGGAAATAACTGATTCTGATTGGTCAATCAGCAGTTTCAAATCACAAAGCTCTGATTGACACAGCTCATTTGACAGTTTTATTTGGTTTTATTTTTGAACATTGCACTTAGATATATTCAAGCTTTATGACAGCGGTCTGTAAATAATCAATTCTGGACTAGACAATCCAGTGATTGACATCATTGGGATACAATGACACGTATCAACCAAGTCAGGGGAGCCTGACCACCTCATCCCATTAGTTGCCTCTTTTGACAAGCATGGGTTGCTGAAGACCAATTCTAACCTGGATCTTCACAGGTTCATATACCTATAATATATGTAAGTTATGTTTTTAATACTGTGCTCATTATCATTATATTCCACTTATATTTAGTGGTGTCTCTCAACCAGGAAAACCAGTGATTGATGTTATGAGCAGGATCCACAAAATTAACTTCGGGTTAAAGTACATATTTCATATCGGTATACAAAGCAGTTACGACATACCGTAATACGAGCACCTACAACATATCGGTACACCAAGCATCAACAACATATCGGTACACTAAGCATCAACAACATATCAGTATACCAAGCACCAACAACATATCGGTACACCAAGCATCAACAACATATCGGTATACCAAGGACCTACAACACATTGGTATACCAAGCAGCTACGACATATGGGGATACCAAGCATCATATCGGTATACCAAGGACCTACAACATTGGTATACCAAGCACCAATAAACATATGGGTACACCAAGCATCAACAACATATCGGTATACCAAGGACCTACATCACATTGGTATACCAAGCAGCTACGACATATGGGGATACCAAGCACCAACAACATATCGGTATACCAAGCACCTGCAACGTATGGGTATACCAAGCACCAACAAACATATGGGTATACCAAGCACCTACAACATATGGGTATACCAAGCACCAACAACATATTGGTATACCAAGCACCAACAACATATGGGTATACCAAGCACCAACAACATATGGGTATACCAAGCACCTACAACATATGGGTATACCAAGCACCTACAACATATGGATATACCAAGCACCAACAACATATGGGTATACCAAGCACCTGCAACATATGGGTATACCAAGCACCAACAACATATTGGTATACCAAGCACCAACAACATATTGGTATACCAAGCACCAACAACATATGGGTATACCAAGCACCTACAACATATGGGTATACCAAGCACCTACAACATATGGATATACCAAGCACCAACAACATATGGGTATACCAAGCACCTGCAACATATGGGTATACCAAGCACCAACAACATATGGGTATACCAAGCATCAACAACATATGGGTATACCAAGCACCTACAACATATGGGTATACCAAGCACCTACCATCACCCTCAGCTTCTGAGTCAGAGTCTTGTGGGTCCGGATGCAGTGCCTGGCAATCATTCATGGCGAGGAACATGGCATCCACTGCAACACAGACAGAAGGTTTCACATCCTAACATACAGTCACTGAGTGAGTTTATGTTTTACCAGTCTAAAAGTCAAATGATAGGTAGATAAAGCTAGTGGTACTACATTCTAGTTCATTCTATTTGTTTGTTTGCCGTACCCAACAATAAACCAGCTAAATGGCGTCAGTCTATAAAACAATGGAGTCTGGACCAGACAATTCAATGATCTTCAGCATGAGCATCGATCTACGACACCAGTGGCTTATGTTTCAGTTCAACAACTATAATAACAAGTGTTTCCCTAATATGGCAATGCCTCCCATCGCTAAACAAGAGGGACATAACTCAGGACAGCAATGTCGAACAACAGACAACTGGACATCCTTGTGTCTTATCTAATTTTTTTCAGCCAATGCGATAAGTAGTAATTTCATGAAGGCTGAAATATAATTCATTATCTGAATTCTTTTCATCCGTAACTAACACACGTTATTTTACATGCTTCAAACATTTCTGGTGTCCCCCGCCGTGATATAGCTGGAATATTGCTAAAAGCGGCGTAAAACTAACCTCACTCACTCACCCACATGCTTCAAAATCAGAAACAAGAGATTTAATGTATTTACTAAGCTAATAATTATCTCCTGGAATTCAAATATACATATATCTCTAAAACTCACAAGTTCCTCTGTCACTTGGTACAAAGCGAACTTCTCCGATTGGTTGATCATCTTCCTCTTCCCCGTCAGATGACCCATCCTGTGTTTCTAGTGAACAATCACACCAATGTCAAAACAGGGAATGTGAATCATGGCTTACATGCAATACAATTCTACATTCTAAAGACAGAAATCCTGTCAACCTTAAGCTGGAGGATTCTTAACAAAGTGTACTTGGCAGGAAAATTGGGGAATTTTTTTCCTATCTTAGTTTGGTTCAAAACGGTATTTTTCAAATTAAAAAATTACTTCCATTCAATAGGTTTTGGAAAGTAATATAACGAAGCATCTTAATCTCTTCCTGATTATTGGTTTTCTATTATCCAATACAGTCCAATGCAAGCGATAATACTAGTTCTAACTCTACTTACATGAACTGATCTAAAATTTCTGCAGTACACCATTGCAGTCCTAAACAAACTGTGGTGCCTCACAGACGTTACAAACCACACACTCCTCTCGGAAGATGACAAAACCACTTTATCATGTTTATCAGCCAGCCACACTCCTCTCGGAAGATGACAAAACCACTTTATCATGTTTATCAGGCAGCCACACACCCATCGGAAGATGACAAAACCACTTTATCATGTTTATCAGGCAGCCACACTCCTCTCGGAAGATGACAAAACCACTTTATCATGTTTATCAGGCAGCCACACTCCTCTCGGAAGATGACAAAACTACTTTATCATGTTTATCAGGCAGCCACACTCCTCAGGCAGACACCTCTCGAAGATGACAAAACTACTTTATCATGTTTATCAGGCAGTCACACTCCTCTCGGAAGATGACAAAACCACTTTATCATGTTTATCATGTTTATCAGGCAGCCACACTCCTCTCGGAAGATGACAAAACCACTTTATCATGTTTATCAGGCAGCCACACTCCTCTCGGAAGATGACAAAACCACTTTATCATGTTTATCAGGCAGCCACACTCCTCTCGGAAGATGACAAAACCACTTTATCATGTTTATCAGGCAGCCACACTCCTCTCGGAAGATGACAAAACTACTTTATCATGTTTATCAGGCAGCCACACTCCTTTTGTAAGATGACAAAACCAATTTATCATGTTTATCAGGCAGCCACACTCCTCTCGAAGATGACAAAAAACCACTTTATCATGTTTATCATGTTTATCAGGCAGCCACACTCCTCTCGGAAGATGACAAAACCAATTTATCATGTTTATCAGGCAGCCACACTCCTCTCGGAAGATGACAAAACCAATTTATCATGTTTATCAGGCAGTCACACTCCTCTCGGAAGAGGACAAAACCACTTTATCATGTTTATCAGGCAGCCACACTCCTTTCGTAAGATGACAAAACTACTTTATCATGTTTATCAGGCAGTCACACTCCTTTCGTAAGATGACAAAACCACTTTATTGGTGTCCATACCTGATAGTTTGCCTTCCACCATCAGATACAGACATTCATGAGGGAAAGTGGAAGTGTCTCGGGAGACTGCATGCAAACTTATCGCCGGATATTCCAGTGAGAAACCTCGTCCATTCTCACCCATCCATGACAACCGGCTGAAACACAAGAAAATAACATTCTTAATAATACGGGTATATCATGATTTATACTGGTCTCATCAGTCCCGTTCCTTCCATATACTCCCCATACCAACTTCTCCACTAATTTTTATCATTACAATTTGAAATGTACATATATAAAAAATACAAATATATAAAAAAATATTAAATAAACAAAACCCAAACTTTACTTATCCATTAATCAGTCAAAGATAGAGACTGTATGTGAGATGGGTGCGGTCTGCGATGTACTGATATGCACATCTATGAGAGTTATCTCCCTTGTATTGTAATGAAGGGTTGAATGAGTAAAGCAACATGTCCGACCTGTACCCACGACGTCTGTGTGTTTATTCAAATCTCAAGATACACAGAACGCTACATGGTGTCAGAAGTGGTTAGAAAAGTCTACAAGAATCTTTTCTACAGATATACTGGAGTTTGCAGTCGACAAATTACCAGGTGTGAGGTAAAATTCGAATTTACGCCTCATCGGTCGCGCACGTGGTTTGCAAAGTCCCCCAGTTTTCGAGCAGGGATGTCAATGTAAGTCAAATCTTGTACACTGACTATTCAAAGAACTCTTGATATGAAAAGTATCTATGAAGTGTACTCTACCTCGTTGGAACGAATTATGATAATTCTTTCTGTAAACTGCAAAATCCATCACAGTTACGTTTGACTTGAAAATCTAACGTAGACTTGCTGAGGCTTCACATTTTCTGTGGAGATTGTTACTACATTCTTATCATGGCTGAGGGTCAAGAAAATGCTGCAAAGGTGGTATAGATGCCTTCTGCAATTCCTCTACCGCCAAAATTGGATCTGAATGGGAATTTAGCCTCAAACTGGAAAAGATTTAAACGTGGATGGGACAATTATGAAATTGCTCAGAGACTTGTTTCAGAAGAAATGAGATTTAGAACGGCAACTCTTCTTACAGCTGTTGGATCTGATGCTCTGGAAGTTTTTGATGGGTTTCAATTTGCAAATGAAGATGATAAGTCTAACATAAAAGTTGTTTTGGAAAAATTTGAGACATTTTGTGTTGGTTCGACAAGTGAAACATATGAGCGTTACATTTTCAATAAACGTGAACAGGAAAGTGGTGAATCTATTGATACTTATGTAGCGGCTCTGCGATCTCTTGCCAAATCCTGCAATTACGGCACACTAACAGATTCATTGATCAAAGACAGAATTGTTGTAGGAATTCTTGACAATAGCACAAGAAAGAAACTGTTACAAACCGCAGACTTGACACTAGAGAAGTGTATCACTGTGTGCATAGCATGTGAAACAACAGATCATCAACTCAAATCTATGAGAACTGATCAGGTGTCCTTTGTGAGTGGAAACAGAAATGGAAAGAAAAGTGGTCAAAGCAAAAGCGAAAGATCAGAGAGGGAACAAACTAAACCAAAATATGTGTCCTACATTGAAGAGTGCAGATTCTGTGGCAGATCTCATGCAAGAGATAGAGACCAGTGTCCAGCATTTGGAAAGAAATGTACATATTGTCATGGCAAGAACCATTTTGATATCAAGTGTAAACGTAAGAAAGTGAAAAGCAGACAGAAAGAAAACAGGCGACAGCGAGTCAGTGCTGTTGAAGATCTCTCCGCTTCTGAATCAGGGAGTGAGTTAGGAGACTATGCCTTGAGTCTTGAAGAATCTATCCTGTCTGTGAATGATAACCCTCCTAGGAAACTGTTTGCTCACATGAAAGTCAACAAACAGAATGTGAAGTTTCAACTTGATTGTGGTGCAGCCGTGAATGCTATGCCAGTCTCTTAGTTCAGGACAATATTCCATGGAAAGGAAGAGAGGTTTGATCCTTACAACACAGTGACAGAAATTAACAGAAATATTCAGACTTGCCCTTCGGGCCAGTAGACATGAAAACTTACTGGCCCAAGCTGTTTTCTACTGGCCCAGTAAAAAAAAACCTGATGAAGAAAAAACTCATTTTATATTAACCAACTGTAGTGAGGCAAAACATTTAAATGACTATGGTGAGGTTTTTTATCAGTTGTAGGTAATAGAAACTACAAAATCTTTATGGATGATCACCTTTAGTTTATTGTACAATACCAACACACCATGAGGCATCTTAGAGCATTTGAAAGAACCTGCAGTGTCTCTAATGATTTCAACTTTTTGACAGGTGGCTGAACGTTGTCAATAAATCGCCATATACTTCCGCCATTACAAGTCATGCGCAGTCGCTTACTTCCTAAAGTATGAACTTCCGGATAACTGTGTTTACAAACGAAACGCAAGTCGGTAACGAGGGCGTGTGTAGCAGGCCATATTAAAAGAGAAACTTGTCAATTTTACTGACATACGATCAGGACAAAGATTACACTTAAATTACTTTAGATTATTCAGGTAATATGATTGGATTAGAAGGGGGATAAGGACGGAAGTCTCTCTATCTTTATAATCAGTCACGACACATACTCTTGTCGCCCACTGGGCGACCGGTGGCATGCTTTTAATCCACCCACACAAACTTCTACTCGCCTCGGGCCTCGGGGCGAGCGTTAATTTCTATCACTGCAACACTCCACTGATACTCTACAACAATACAAAAATGAACACTATTGGAAAAACCCAGATTTCTGTAGTGAATCCAAGGAATTGTGAAACCCACATACTTGAATTCATCATAGTTCAGGATGAAGTAAGACCTGTTCTTGGCGTACAGACAGTCCAAGAGATGAACCTGATTACAATCAACTTCGACAACATAATGTCGATTTCCAAAGACAATGTAATCGAAGAGTTTTATGATGTCTTCAATGGGGAAGGAAAGTTAGAAGGGACCCTCAAACTTCAGATAGATCCAAAAGTCTCTGCAGTGAAGACTCCTTTGAGGAAACTCCAATAGCTATTAAGCCTAAGCTCAAGGCTGAACTGAACAGATTGGAAAAGCTCGGAGTGATACAGAAGGTTGATGTACCAACTGAGTGGATTTCGTCAATGGTAGTGGTCATGAAAAGTAATGGACGTCTACGTGTCTGTTTAGACCCACAACCTCTCAACAAAGCTTTAAAGAGAAATGATTACTCAATGTCAACAATTGATGATGTCTTGCCTGAACTGTCAAATGCAAAACTGTTTACAGTGGTTGATGTCAAAAATGGATTTTGGCATGTGTGCTTGGATGAAAACAGCAGTTATTTAACCACATTTGATACCCCATGGGGAAAATTTCGGTGGAAAAGGATGCCCTTTGGTATCTCACCTGCCCCAGAGGAATTCCAGACACGACTCGATGATGCATTGGAAGGTCTTCATGGAGCTAAAGCTATTCATGATGACATCATCATATATGGATCAGGCAGCAACATGGATGAAGCAACACAAGATCATGATGCAAATCTCAAAGCTCTCCTCCAAAGATGTCGAATGAAAGGCATCAAACTGAATTTCCAGAAACTGAAGTTGAGACGAACTGAAGTTACCTATCTAGGTCATGTGATATCATCAGAAGGTCTAAAAGTTGATCCTTCAAAAGTTGAGGCAATCTTGAAAATGCCACCTCCAACTGGTAAACAAGGGATACAACGTCTGTTGGGACTTACCAATTTTGTGCAGAGGTTTGCTCTACAGCTGTCGGAAGCAACTGCACCTTTCAGAGATTTGCTCAAATCAGGTGTTGTATTTCGCTGGAATGATGATATTCACACCAAAGCCTTTGATGAAGTGAAGAAGATCTTGTCTGCTAAACCAGTTCTGAAGTATTTCAATCCAGAGGCTGAAACCATGTTGCAATGTGATGCATCGGAAAAAGGTTTAGGGGCTTGCCTTATGCAGAACGATCATCCAATCATGTATGCATCCCGAGCACTCACTGAGACTGAAACAAATTATGCTCAGATAGAGAAGGAGCTACGCGCCATTGTGTTTGGCATGGAGAAGTTTGACAGATATGTGTATGGGCGACATGTGAAGATAGAATCTGATCACAAGCCTCTAGAGACTATCTTGAAGAAGAGTCTCCACAATGCTCCGAAGCGCTTGCAGAGAATGATGCTACGCTTACAACATTATGACTTTGAAGTGGTTTACAAGAAGGGTTCTTTGATGGTCATGGCTGATACCCTCAGTCGTGCCTTTCTACCACAAATGTCAAACCAGTGGAATCAAGATGCTCACTGTATCATGATAGTAGACAGTCGATTTCCAGCTGAAATAGATGTCGAATCAATCGATATGGTGAGCTATGTTCCAATATCATCACAAGCATTCACTCAAATATCCAAAGCCTCATCTGAAGATGGAGACATCCAAGCAGTAGCTGCAGTCATCATAGAGGGATGGCCAGACAATAGATCTGATCTCTGTGGTTCAGCAATACTTCAACTATAGAGACGAACTGTCATTCCAGAATGGTGTAGTCTTTAAAGGTGAACGTGTGGTAGTGCCTAAAGCTGAACGACACAACATCATGGTCAAACTACACTCTAGTCACTGTGGAATTCAGAATTCTCTTAGAAGAGCAAGAGAAGCTGTGTTTTGGCCCAATATGAATAGAGATGTGAAGGAATTCATAAACGTGTGAAATCTGTGCCTGTTACAATGATAAGCAGCAGAAAGAACCATTAAAAAGTCACAGTCTGCCAAGCCGTCCCTGGGAGAAAGTAGGAGTCGATTTGTTCGACTTTGAGGGGAAAGACTTTCTCATAACGACTGACTATTACTCAGACTTCTTCGAAGTAGATAGACTACATGATAAGACATCAAAAACGGTCATCAGAAAACTGAAGCAGCAGTTTGCCAGACATGGTATTCCGGTTCAGGTCATGCCAGACAACGGACCACCATTTGGCTCCAAAGCTTTTGCAACGTTTGCCAGAACTTTTGACTTTGAACATTGTATAAGCTCTCCGCGCTATCCACAGTCCAACGGGAAAGTTGAGAACTCAGTGAAAGTGGCCAAGAGAATAATGATAAAGTCAAAGAAAGCAGGCACGGATCCCTATTTGGCACTCCTCGATTGGCGGAACACAACCACAGAACACATGGAAAGCTCCCCAGTTCAGCGACTCTACAGCAGAAGAACACGAACTTTGCTGAGTTTGTCAGCCAAACAACTGTCACCTAAGGCAGTTAATTCAGTCCCAAAGAAGCTTTGGACTAGAAAGGCAAAACAGAAGAAATATAATGACAGAAATGCCAAGACCCTCCCAGAGCTAAAACCAGGTGAGACAGTCGTAATGAAGCCATATGGAGGAGAAAAGGAATGGAAAAGTGCTAAGGTGAAAGACAAAGTGGGAATAAGATCTTACTGTGTCGAACCTGAGGAAGGGATGCAGTATAGGAGAAATCGCAGACATCTCCGAGGTCCGAAACAGGTCAGGTTTCAACCTAACATCTCGGATCCAGTCGACAATACAGTCCCAGTAGAGAAACAGAACATAACAGAGCCTGAGATCAAACCGGGCCCAGAACAGTCAACAACCAGTAGCACACTGAGCTGTCCTACCCAGACATGAAGTGGCAGACAGACCAAGCCACCCCAGTATCTTAAGGACTATGTGACTGGCTAAATCAACAGTATTGTACTTGACAAGTCACATTGTAGGAACTGATTAAAAAATGTGCAGGTTGTGTCAAAAGACTAAATTATAAATTTAAACACTTTGGTTTCAGAAATAATAATTTCAGGACTATTAACAAAACATATTCGACATTGTTTCTCCTGTGACTTTATCTCAGTAAAATGCAATCATTTTCAGTATACCTAAAGCTGTTTCATTGTACACCTTAAAGAGGGGAGATGTACTAATATGCACATCTACGAGAGTTATCTCCCTTGTATTGTAATGAAGGGTTGAATGAGTAAAGCAACATGTCTGACCTGTACCCACAACATCTGTGTGTTTATTCAAATCTCAAGATACACAGAACGCTACATGCCATACCAAGTGAAACACCTGAATGTTGATAATTAGGGCTGTTGATTGGCAAATAGATTATACTGCAATATATTGCAATTCAGGGACACGTATTGCGGGTTCACTCTCACTTAGAGAGTCTAACCAAAAAGGTATTGTTACAACATTGCACTATGGCTCGATGAGAGATGCGAGCCAGGTAATTAGCATTTGCCACTGAAGCGTGAGCCTTGGGCTATAGTCTGTACCTATTTATTAACATTTTTAGCCACCATTTTTCATAATTTTCTTAATGCAACACATCTTTTGCTTCAAGCATGTATGCATTTACATTTTGCTAAACCTCTTTCTTTGTTGTATAACACATCACCAAGTAACTGTATTTCCTACAATGTGGAAAACAGGAAATATTACTCCTATTTTTGATACATACTTGATATAATGGGAGCTTAAGTGTTTGACAGTAAGTGACCCTAATTGTATGTGTAGATCTTATTTTCAGCATTAAAAGTCCCTAAAGATTTATGTTATGGTTCTGGTAAAAGTAATCTCAAAATTTGGGTGCATAGTCAGGGATTCTAGTTTCTTCTTTTTAAACAATATATAGTATTACAGTATGCTTTTTTGTCATTTAATATCGAAGGAAAACATCTGTTGCAAATGAAAATCTGTGCAGATTTAAATTTAAACTATACAGATAATCACAAAAACTTCATAGATGTTCTTAACCCAATATACTGGTTCTCAGAAAAAATATTGCAATATGTAATGTCTGAAAAGTGTATTGTGGCATACTGGTAATATATAAGCAGTCCTATTAATAACTGTCAACCAGCAACTTCTAAAATCTGCCGTATTTTTGCTTTTTCTCCTGAAGCTGCCTTCAAACGTCAAAGAACTTGTCAGATACACTTTTTTAAAATCATAACTGGTTTGGTTTCATAAAATATCTCTTCCGGTGTGTGCTAGATTAGATACAGCACTGAACATATACATGTACCATTACTGCAGGTAAAGGAGTCGCTGCCAGCAAGGGTACTGCAGAAACGTACTCCAGCCAAAATCAGAACACAGACACATACCCCAGGATGGATGTATTTTGTTTAGTATTGTTTTCTTGATAAGAACTGTTATACAGTTGTAAGAGATTCATTTGATTGTGTTATATAAGCAACAAGCATACACAGTAAAAGATATTTGTAATGCATATTGCCACTCGCAATCAGATGAACGGGAACAACAGTTTCGTTTGAGTGATGAGAAATATGAGCTTGTCAGCTGTTTTGGGTACTGGGTACGTTTCTGTATTTTGACTTTGTTTATGGTACATTTCTGTTTGAAACGTACCAGGGGTAGATATAAGTAGAACCTGTGCTGACATCATCAGGTTTAATAAATGTCATGACGATAGCTCAGAAAGATGAGTACCGAATTATAATCAAAAGCTGTCAAACCGTTAGCTACATATAAAGTGATACATCTAGACAGGTCTAAAATTAAAAGAGCAAAAATGCATTGCCTTTCTGCAACATAGAGTGTTCCATTTCCTAAGGTGCTGCCATCAATATTCGCTACTGTATTCTCTTGTTTATGTCGAATTCCTTCTGTGGGAGGTGGGAAACTTGTCAATATCACCATTGTTTTCCAATTTAACACCAATAGACACTTATACCGATAGGAAATGTCTTATTCGATGCCAAGAAAGCGTGATCCTCACGTTGATACTACGCGCCAGCTATTTCTACCAATGAAAACAACGGTCGTATTAACTGTGGTATTACCGGAAGTATTTTAATGTTTATTGACCAATCAACATCAAATACACATTTACATCGGTAAAAACCGGATACAGATTAGTGCGCGATATCAAGCCGACAAGTGTGAATTATTTATTTTCCAGTATTCATTTGTTTTGCCTCTTCATCTCTCACGATCGGCAAGCAGGCAAAAGAAACTATTTAAATTGCCACAAGAGTCTCACACCTCACTGAAGCTGTGTTGATTTGCAGACGCCAACAGTGTACACGTCGTCTTGGTGGGATGAGCTGTCAGCTGGCGTGAGTGATTCTATTTATATATCTCAATACAATGTCAAATTCAACACAGTGGATGTGCTGACTGTGATGTATTGGTATTGGGATATTTTATTGCAGCAATATTCGGATAATGCATGCAACTTGCATAGAATTGTGTTTTCATCTATACAATAGCGGTTAGGTTATCCCTTGGTCATAAATAAATAACCCGCGATGAGGATGATTTCTATCAGACCCCTTCCAGTGTGATGTGTTGCATGCTATATAGTTTAACTTGCATATACTCTCATTACAAATCATGTTTTCCACCCCTAATCCTTCCTATGACAAACGTCCCAACTTACAAAATGTCTGGCATTTCAGGCTTCGGAGACAGTGAAGACCTTAGTTTTTATAAGTTAAAAAACTTGGAAAATATTATTCCTTTAGCCTGTAGAAGCACTACACCAAGTTGACAATATTGAAATGCTAGTGACAGAAGTGGGTGAGTTAGCATTTTTGTAACATCGACAACATTTCAGCTGTATTTTGACTAAAATAAGTTATACATTAATGATTCATAGTCTAAAACCTATCAACAGAGGACAGTAAAAGGACTAGAGTATCAGAGATGTAGTTGTAACAACTAGATTAAGCAATAACTTAGGCAGAAAAAATGTTTGAAAATAAGATTGCTCTCAGTCCTTTCATGAATGGATACTGACCAAAATGGTCTCTTGTTGAAATTGCCACATTTTTGCTAAGAAGCAAATGGACCAAAATGGCTCACTTTGTGAGATAACTGATTAGCCATGTTTGCTTTTGCATTACTTCATGCATTATGAGATACAGTTGATGAATTCATTTATAAAGCATCATGTATACTTTTTGCAGCCACTGAGTGGTTCCACTGTTTGGTGGATGCTCAGTCATAATGTCGTCTTGGAATGTAATCCGTGAACAGGTTTTTTACAATTTGATCATTTTTTTTCTTCAAATTTTGATCATGTTGATGTGTTGGTTATGGGAAAAATTATGAAAATGAGTCTATACAATTCAGCTCATCCTATGGAGTTAAGTTATCCTATAAACATGATGTAAGATTTTTTGTATTTTAAGACATATTGCTGAGTGTAGAGATGTCAACTGTTGGCTTGATGAATACACATAATGAAATGACTGGCATGTCACTTAAGTGTTCACATTAAGGGAGAATCCTTGGTGTTGGTTCCTATAGTATTTCAGTCACAGAGGCAGTGGGGTAGCCAAGTGGTTAAATCATCCGCTTGTCATGCCAAAGACCCAGGTTCGATTCCCCACATGGGTACAATGTGTGAAGCCCATTTATGGTGTCCCCTGACGTGATATTGCTGGAATATTGCTGAAATCAGTGTAAAACCATATTCACTTCATAGTTCAATCAGGGGACCCTGTAAATCTTACACTTTTGTATTATGATAAGGGTCTTGGGTCCAAGTGATGGTTCCGGTGAAACTCAGCAAAGAGTCCGAAGTCACAAGAAGCTAATCACAATTTTATTTACAAGAACGAAATACATGGGGTGGCCACAGAGAGTCGGTACAACCCTCTGGGCTGAGGGCTAGAGCTGACCTGTGTTGGGAGGCTAACCCCTACTGCTTGACAAATGCAGTTAGAGACTCTTTATCTACAATTAAAACAATAAAGAGATTACGATTGGCTCACTGATACAAAAAATGGGTGTAACCTACATTAGTCTATCAAATACAGAATATACAAAATGGGGTGTGTCCTACTAATCACATAACCAGGCAGGGGAAGTACTCTTAATCGTGTTAATCCTATTTTAACAGGCACTAATCTCGATGGCACTTTTACTGGATGCTTGGATGCTTACCCTGGGCTAGATCTTAATGAGCCTAATCTGATGTGTCAATTATAGGTGCTTGGATTACAATAGATGCGTTTACTCTGGGCCATTTCTTTATGACCCTTAATTGGTGTTTGCTTAAAGGTCACATGCAACGTTGGAAACAAATCATCAAAAATGCAAATTCAACTTATAAAGTTGAAAAATAACGCGTTGAAAAAACCCGTGAGAAATCGTAGTTCAAACGATTCACTCATTTACCCCCAGCGCTTGGGGGAATTCAAGTGGTTTCAACAGCTGGGCTGCGCTCATAGCATGTGCGCAGTGAAATAGGTTCGCGCAGCTTGGAATCGGGTTGTCCGGTGAATACTCGATGAAGGCTTTGATGTGAGCTATTTTTCTAATGTTTTGTTGATATTTCACAGGCGGGAGCTTTTTACATGTTAGGACAGTAGATTAACTGTATATATAATTTAATTTGTCTATTTTACCAAACGTTCTTCTTACCGAGTCACTTTCTCAGTTCGATACTTAAGCAATGTCATTATTTAGCGTTCACAGAATTTCTAACTGTGATATAGATATGTCGTTGTCACAGACAAAACTCAATGTCTGTTTTATTGACACCTATGTGTCTGCTAATGACCATATTCAATACACAACTGCGATCACTGACCACATGCAATTTGAACTTAACACCAATCAGGCTATACACCATAAACAAAATGCATTGATTTATGGCCCGAGTTCGGTCTCTGTCACATTATGTAATTACACAGACAGGCAGGTGTGATACTTGTACACATGACATGTTATAATGTCTGTTGATTGCAAAATGTTATACACAAAAAATGAGCATGTATTTACAAAAGCCAACATCTCTATATATACACACACAATGAGCCGTGAGGGAATCTGCAAATGAACCAGCCGTTACACTTGAGTGCACACCCACCCGCTCTGACTGGGCTCGGTATCCCGGCTGCTTCGTTTCTTGGGAAGTAAACCCAAGTACACAATATTGCACTTTTGATTTGCGATTGTACGCTTATAATTTGGTTTATATGATTTTTCATAACCAGCAATGTATATTATATGTCATGAATAAGTGATAATTGTGTTTTAGTTATGTTTAATTTTTTGATTGCATATGACCTTTAAAGTTTTGTAATATAGATGATGACGTGTTTACTTTACGAAAGCAGTTCATTTAATCGTCTGGTCATAACTCTGAATTACTGAAAGGGTTGCTAACAGCTTGAGTCCTTGATATCTTAGGCTAGGATTTTATCTTGAACATCTGTAAAATTGTGCAGTCGTAATTTATACCTTTTTCAATAGTATGTATGTGAGATGAATTTTACAACTTTTGACTGGAGTCTTTCTCTAAGCTATCACTAATATTCTATATTTATATTTTCCTAATATCTGAATCCTAATATATTGCTCGTAGTGGTAATAATGAATAATGAATTTTGTATGAATTATTATTCAATGATAATTGTATCAGGGCTAAAGACTCTCTGACTTTCCTGTTCAATTTCTATCACTAGTATAATGTTATCTGTAATGAGTTGCTTGTTTGAATGCTGGCGTTACATGTTTTGTGTTGTTTTTAGGAAAGTTGGTCCATTTTGGCTGAAGCTGCTACATAAATATTTATGCTGTGTCCTCTGTCAACTGTGCTTAAAAATGCTTCTTTTTAAAATTTAACATGGGATATGGTAAAATATGGCTCGCTTAAGCATGTCAAGTTTTGATGACAGTTTTAAACAAAAAGGGGGACTGGCCGTGAAGATCTGGGTTAGAATTGGTCTTCAGCAACCAATGCTTGTAAGAGACGACTAGCGGGATGGGATAATCACTCTTGCTGACTTGTTTGACACATGTCATCATATCGCAGTTGCGTAGATCGATGTTCATGATGTTGATCACTGGACTGTCTGGTTAACACTCGATTATTTAGAGACTGCCATCATATAGCTGGATTATTGCTAAGTGCGGCAAATAAACAAACAGAATGGACTGGAATGTGGTACCACCAGCTTTGTCTACTTATCATTGACTTTTAGACTTAAGAAATGTCACTTGGTCAAGTTTATAATGCTGCCAAAGTCATTGTCCATATATCATTCTGAATTTTAAAAAAAAATCTAAACATTTTCGTCAGAGACCTGCTGTCAAAAATGTTGGGAACATGAACTCGAGGTGACTATTCAAATACCTGAAGCTGTTAAGTAAGTCAAAGTTCTACTTACTCTTGTCACTGATGTCATTTGATGATATTCTTGTGTTAGTTTGTTCCGGTTTGCTCCAAGCTATCAATTGTACAACGTACAACTTTATATATAGCAACTTTTTGTTTATTGCATGTAGCAACATTACAATGTAGATTCTTATACCATTCTTAAGTGGAGATGTTGCCTTTATGTCTTCAGGGGAATATTATCTTTTTTTATCATGTTACTGTGTTCAAGTAAAATATATGTATGAGATGCCAGTTTGTATGTGCAGTGGTGGATGGTATTCAGGTGAGATGTTTTACTGTTCTTGGGGGACATAACTCAGAATATTTCCGCTGTATTTCGGGTTGTGAGTGAGAGAAGCAAATAGTTTAAGTCAGGATATGCAGAGGCCCAGATAAGCTGCGTATCCGGGTAAAATACGCATAGAAAATTTCAAACTACGCATTGAAAAATAATTGTTGCGTATCAATTACACATTTAAAATGTTAGATACGCAAAAAGTTTAAAACAAATGCGTACAAAATATATTTATAAGAAATCGCTTGCGTAATGAAAAAGACATCGATTGCTATCAAGTTGTACTGTTAGGATAGGACAAGTGTTGTACTGTCAGTATAGGATGAGTGATTTTTTTATAGAATCATTTCCATTATATTTAAGTTGGTTTTGATACGGTATGACATAAGGCAGAACATACCTGCTTAGTAAAATTATTCAATGACATAATACTTAGGTGAGTAAAATGACTGAAATATGCACATATTTGAAAGCAGTGGGTAACATTCAAAATACCCACTCCAAAAAAATTACAGTGGGTACAGTACCCACATGAGCTAAATCTTATCTGGAGCTCTGGATGTGTATTAGGTAATATTGTTTTGGTTTTGCTCTAAAAAACATTTTTGCATAATCTGAAATCAATTCTTTAAATGCCTGACCCTAATAAG